AATCATATACAAATGAGGTTCCAATCAGATTATAAATGGTTAACATGATTATATTAATTATCTTATTTGAATAATGCTAATACTTGTAAATATTGGATGAAATGCAACAATACTTTTTAAAGAAGTTTTTCTCATCTCACAAAACAAACTCTTTCAAAAGAAAAATTATCATTTTTTCTCAAAAACCAGGAGAAACATTTTACCAATGTTGGGATAGGTATCAAGACTTGCTTAATACTTGCCCTCATTATGGTTTTTGAAACATAGAGATTGGTTTTACATTTTTATAAAGGGTTAACACCTAGAGATAAGCAAATAGTTGAATTGATATGCAATGAAACTTTTGAAGATAAAGACCCTGATGAAGCAATGAAGTACTTAGACTTGTTAGCTGAAAATGCTCAAAATTGGGACATTACGAGTATTTATGAAGCACTGAGTAAAACTCAACCTCATACATCTAGTAGAGGTATGCACAACCTTAGAGAAGATCATGACCTCTAAGCCAACTTTGCATCTTTAGCTAGAAAAGTTGAGGCAGTAGAATTGAAAAAGAGTGGTCAATTAAAATCTGTTAAAAACATTATATGTCAAATATGTGAAACAAATAAACACTTAAACAATAATTATCCAACCTTGCCTTTTTTTAAGGAATGTCTCCATGAACAAACTCATGCTTTAAATAGTTTTTAAAGGGCTAACCACAACCCATACTCACAAACATACAACCCTGGTTGGAGAAATCACCCAAATTTCAGTTAGAAAAGTGATAATAACAATATATAAACTTCACAATCATCGTGTCAAGCACACCATAATTTCCAAAATTCTCATGGATAAGCATCGTCTTATGCTCCACCTCCTAGAAGAAATCTTGAGGAAACATTGCATGCATTCATTGAAAACACAAGAGACAATCAATACTCAACTTGCTCAAAACATGATAGATTTTAAAGATACTCTTGCAAAATTGGTATCTGCTCTAAGTTTCCAAGAGAAAGGTTAGTTTCCATCTCAACCACAACAAAATTTCAAGGGGCAATACAATGCAAATGCAAGTAGTTTCGGAAGCCAACACATGGATCAAGTCAAATCAGTTACTACTTTTTGTAGTGGTAAGATTATTGAAAAATCTACTCTTAAACCTTGTGAGAAAGATAATGAGTCAATCTTTGATGGTAAGGAAGGGGTTGAATATGAAAATTGTAAAAAAACGATTGATTCCCCGCCAGCAGTTCCATTTCCTTATACGATGACCAAACAAAGAAAAGTCAATCACAACTCTGAAATCTTTGAAACTTTCAAACAGATAAGGATCAATATACCTTTATCGGATGCTATTAAACAGGTTCCTTCTTATACTAAAATTTTGAAAGATTTGTGTACTGTGAAGAGAAAATTGAATATGAAAAAGAAAGCTTTTTTAACCGAACAAGTAAGTGTTATTCTTCAGAACAATAATTCTTTGAAATATAAAGACCCTGATTGTCCTATAATTTCTTGCTTTATTGGAGAACATAAAATTGAAAGAGTTTTACTTGATCTTGGAGCTAGTGTGAATTTACTTCCATATTCAGTTTTTCAGAGTCTCAATATAGGTGAGTTAAAATCAACTTCTTTATTTCTTTTACTTGCTGATAGATTTGTAAAAGTGCATAGAGGAATAATTAAAGATGTGTTAGTACAAGTCGATAAATTCATTTATCCTCTGGATTTTATTGTCTTGGACACATAATTTGTTAAAGCATGTAATTCATTTCCTGTTGTTTTAAGACATCTGTTTCTTGCAACTTCTAATGCATTAATTAATTGTAAGAATGAACTGATGAAGCTATCATTTGAAAAGATGATATTGGAGATGAATATTTTCAACATTTGCAAGTAACTTGGAGATTATAATGATTTATAGGAAGTGGACTTTATTGAAAAATTAATTCATTATCAATTTCAAACCACTTCTAGTGAAATTGAGATTGATGAATCTGATGATTTGCAAATGCTTTATTTTTAGAAAGAATCAAAGGCAAGTAATTGGAGACCACAAATTGAGGAATTGTCACCATGATCAATTAAAGTCATACCTTTAAATATTCAACCAGCCAAACTTGATTTGAAGTTGTTGCCATTCAATCTTAAATACTCGTTTTTAGAAGAAAATGAAACTTTTTCGGTAATAATCTCGTCCAAACTTTATGCACATCAAGAAAGTAAGTTATTACAAACTTTGAAAATGCACAAAAATGCTTTAGGATGGACCATAGCTGACATAAAAGGAATTAGTCCTTTGATTTTTGGTAGCCATACAAAGCCCTAAAATGTGTCTTCCTAGTCAAGGTGAGCATGCTCATATCAGGATCTCTCTCAAGCCCTCACCCGCCGATGTGGAATATTACAATCCACCCCCCTTAAAGAGCTCGATGACCCCATTGGCACCATCACATAACAATTTAGTCGAGCTCTAATACTAAACTGTAACACCCCACCTGCCAAAGCCTCACAGATTTGTTCTTGACAGCCACGTAGAGCCTCCAAACGCGTCTTTCTAATCAAGGTGAGCATGCTCATATAAAGCCCTCCCCCAAGTCCTTATCCACCAATGTAAGATATTACACCTTAGCTTCTAAGGCCAAACCCAATAAAATTGGATCCTGACATTGAACCAATATAATTGTGTCCAAATGCAGGACCCATTACCCTTGTATCCTGATACAAGACATAAGAGAATTAGCTCATGTAGCAGGACTCATTAGCCTTAGATCCTAAGACAAGACCCAAGTGAATTGGGTCAATGACATAGGATTCAATACCCTTAAATCCTGACGCGGGACCTAAAAGAATTAAATCCAGACACAAGACCCAAGAAAAATAAGATCGAACGTCGAACCTATTAGCCTTGAGTCTTGATGTCGAGCCTAAGAGAATTGGGTCCGAACATTAGACCCATTACCCTCGAGTTCTAATGCCGAACCCAAGAGAATGGGGTCCTGACATAAGACTTATTACCCTTGGATCTTGACACAAGACCTAAGAGAATTAAGACTAGACACCGGACCCAATAGTCTTGGGTCCTTACACTGAACCTATTAGCCTTTGGGTCCGGACGCATACCCAATAGAATTGGATCCTAACGCTGAATCCATTAATCTTGGTTCGGACACATACACATTATCTATGGGTCTAAATGTTAGACCCAACAACCTTGGATCCAAACCCTAGAGCATTAGGTCAGGCAAAACTGTAAGACCCAAATGATTTTGGTCTGTGTCCCTAACACACCCAAGCAACTTGGGTTAGTCACCCTTTTCCAACCCTAATTTTCTTCAGTCTAGAAGGGCATGTCTAATCCAAGTTAATAATAATAATAATAATAATTGATTTTATCCTTAAAATCAAATCTATATCTTTTTTTATAGTAATAATATTTATTTTAATTTTAATAATATTAATAAATTTAATAATATTTATAATATTACTAATAATATTTAACTTGTCTGTCCAAATTCTTATATTTTTTAATCTTTAAAAAAAAATTATAGATTTTTTATGTTAATGATAACTTTTAAAAAAAAATTACTAATTATAATACCAATAACAATAATAGTAGTAATAATTATTAATTTTACCTTTCAAATCAAATCTATTATTTTCTTTCAATATTAATAATATTTTTTACAAACTAATTAATTATTATATTAATAATATTAATTGTAATAAAAATTATAATATTTATAACACAAATAATAATATTTTTACATTAAAACTTTAAATTATAATAAAAATAATAATATTTATCATTTTAATAATATTATTAAAATTATTTTACCCAAATTTTTATAGTAATAATTTAAAAAAAAATAGTAATAACAACAACAACAACAACAACAACAATTATTATTATTATTATTGTCATTTTCCTTCTCTACAAGGTTTGCAAAGCCAGCTGCGCAAAATTTTCCTTCTCTACAAGGTTTGCAAAGCTAGCTAGCTGCGCAGATTTGCAACCACTTGAGGGTCTACAGACTCTAGACATAGGTTAGAAGAGGCCCAAGCGTGCAAGTCTGCAGAACCGCATGCAAGTCTACAGACTTAGGCACACGGACTTGCAGACCTGCTCGCCTAGGTCTGCAGCCAGACATGCAGGTCTGGCCCTAACGCCCAGGGCATGGCAGCTCTACTACCAAGTGTTTGCAACCTAAAGTTTGCAGCTCCACCAAAATTTGCACAAATTGTTCTCTCTCAAAACATCCTTTAAATGCCAAATACATCCCAATGAAAAGACAACTACACCTTTTCTTTACAGTCTTTGCAACTCTTTGAGGTAAGGACAACTCTTTCATTATATTACTTCAATTCATAGTGTTTTGTGTCTAAGTAAAAAGTACTAGGGGCATCCCACCATGCCCACCAAAATTGACACTAACCGTTTTCTTTCAAATCATCACTTCAATGTCAAATATATCCTTATGAAAAGACAACCTCACCCTCCCCTTACAGTCTTTGCAACTCTTTTGTGGTAAGGATAGTTTTGTCATTACACTGTTTCAATTCACAGTATTTTGTATGTAGATAAATAGTTATAAAAGCACCTTACCATGCCCCACCAAAATTTATACTGACCATTTTCTCTTAAACCATCTCCTCAATATCAAATAAATCCTAATAAAAAGACAATCATGTCCTTTCCCTTAAGTCTTTGTAACTTTTGTGGTAGGGATAGCTCCATCATTATATTATTTCAATCTACACTTTCCCTTAAGTCTTTGTAACTTTTGTGACTTTTGTGGTAGGGATAGTTCCATCATTATATTATTTCAATCTAGAGTGATTATCTAGGTAAACAATAACAAGGATACTGATATCTTTTAGTATGCTGTATAATATATCCAAGAAGAAAAGAAAGTGAATGCTGACCTTTGAAAAATTAGATTGTGCAGCGAAGACTTCGGGGAGCTGAGGGTTCTGGGATTCTTGACTCACAAGTTTGGAAGCAGAGATTCAAATGATTGTCAGAAATGGAATATAAGGATGGCATTAGGAACTTGTGAAAATTACAGGACCACAATGAAGTTACATCACACTCCGTGTGTTTAATTTGACATTTAGGCCAAAATTTCCTCTGCACAAAATAATTCTAATGGCTTGTAACTTCCTTCTTTACAGAATGGAAACATCAAACAAGTGAGCTAGCTCAATGTGTCTGAGACTATTCTTTTTCAAAGGATTTTGAAACACACCAGTACATGAGACCCTGGTATATTGCAGCTTTCAATCATGTCTCACCTAAGATCATTTCTCATCATAAGCTGTGCTCTGTCCATGCTCTTCTTCTCATCCAATTTATGCTAAATAGATCGCAGAAAAATCCTATTAAGCTATTTATAATTAGTATTTGTAAAATGCTGGAAAACTGTGGATATAAAATGGCAAGAAATCACCAATAGTCCATGCAGGAACACGAACCGTTCTCGAAATGATGGAAGCGCTTCCGGTCTCTTACAATTATCTTACGATTATAAATCTTTGAGACAAGTTTTATTGAAGAGTGACAATCTTCACAGACACGCAGGTTCTTAACAATTTGGAGTGGTGTCTGGGGCCTTGTACTGATTAAGCCAAAGGCAATTGCAATCTTTTCACTATGATAGTGCAATGCACTTTGTTTTCCTTTTTCGTCCATGTTGAGCAAGACTTGGGTAGTGTTTGGCCTGTATCCCACTGACCTTAGTCGATCTGACATTTCCTCCAACATCGAATGGATTCCTTCAGCTCTAGGATGGGTATCATCTTCCACAAGGAATTCATGTATCACTCCATCAAGCTCAATCCAACTACATCCAGGGTCTTTCCTTATATCCAATTCCTTCATTTTAAGCCTCACCTTGACAACCCCCTCCCAGTTTCCTTCTGAGGCAAACATATTGGAGAGAGCAACATAAGATCCACTATCATGTGGATACCAACCCATCAAAATTTTTGCAATACGTTCTCCCATCTCAATGTTTCCATGCATTTTACAAGCACCAAGCAAGGCCTTCAATATCACGTCATCTGGTTTAATAGGCATGTTAAGTATAAGCTGTTCAGCCTCTTCTAAACACCCAGCACGGCCTAATAGATCAACCATGCACCCATAATGTTCAATCCTAGGCAAGAGACCAACAATGTCAACCATATGGTAATAAACAGATCGACCCTCTTGAACTAAACCAGCATGGCTACAAGCACTCAATACACCAATATACACAACATCACTGGGAGTCACTCCAGCTTGTTGCATTCTCCAAAAGTGATCAAGAGCGTCCCTTGCTCGACCATGCATAGCAAGCCCGCCAATGATAGCACTCCAAGTAATGGGATTCTTTTTATTTCTTATCCCCTCAAATACCTGAACTGCTTTGTCAATGCTACCACACTTCGAATACATATCGATCAAAGCAGAACCAAGCACATCATCGATTTCAATCCCATTCTTCTCTGCAAACAGATGCACCCATTTTCCTAATTCAGTAGCACCGAGTCGCGAAATAGCAGGAAGAACACTAACCAAAGTCACGTAATTTGGAGACACATCTCCCCATTGCATATCATGAAACATCTCAATTGCCTCCCTAAAGTGTCCATTTTGTGCACATCCAGATATCATCACATTCCACGAAACCACATTTTTATTAGGCATACTATCAAACAACTCCCTAGAAGCTCTAAGATCCCCCATCCTCACATACCCATCTATCATAACATTCCATGAAACAACGTTACCCTCTAGCCTCGTCTGATAAAACAAAACATGAGCATCTTTCATGGCCCCACACATAACATACACTCTAACAAGATTACTGCCAACAAACTCATCGCTAACCAATCCTAATTTCACAACAAACCCATGAAGCTGTTTCCCCTCTTCAATCCTAGCCAATTTTGCACAGGCTTTTAGCACGCAAGGGAAAGTGAATTTATTAGGTTCCACGAGACCATCAGTAAGCATGTGGGAAAAATACAGTAATGCCTCTAATGAGTTAACATGAAAAAGATCATCGTCATCAGAATCAGCTAAAGCTCTAATGATAGTATTCCAAGAGAAGCAATTGGGATGATGGATTTGGCTAAAAAACTTACGTGCGTATTTGATTTCACGTTGAGTAGAGAGGGTGAGAAATTTGAGGAGTTCAGCAGCAGCAAGAGGGTGGTGTATTTGGCCTGTTTTGATGAAGTGGGCATGGATTTGCTTGAGGTGTCTTGTCGTCTTGCATCTGCTGATTTGAGGGAAGAGTGAAGATGGGTGATTTGGAGATGTGCTTGGTTTGTGGATGATAGTGTTCATTTTCAGTTGGGGTTCGGATTTTCATGGACACCGCAGCTTAGAATTGGATTATTAGATTGGATTTCTTGACCTCATATTCAGTTATGAAATTCGTTTGGGTGTCCCGTAAAATTACGTCAAACATTAAGTAATTCGTTTGGGTGTCTTTTCGGTACAATCTTGATTTTAAAAAATATATATATACATATCTATTTTTAGATTATTTTAATTTAT